TGGCGATCCAGAAGGTCAAGTGGGCATCCGGATCCGGCGGATCCGACTTTGGAGTGTCGACATCAAATTATTACACACATATCCTGAGAGATAACAGCTGCTCCCATAGAAGCAGTAATCAGGCATGCGGATCATGCTGTAGAGGCAAGACAGGCTAAGATATAGAACTTAGAAATACGGAGAATATAATTTGCATCATTGGGCACAAGTGGTTGGTTTCTTTATTTGATCCACACTTAGTGTATTACGGACACCCCGGATCCGGATATTACATAGGCCTTAAAAGGTGATCCGCGTGTTAAGAGTATAGGATCTAGCGTTAGTTCGGACAACTGGATAATATATTGGCCAGACCCTGCTACCTAGTGACTTATTCTCTATGTTCAAACTCCGGATCCACGACATTTATTGCTTGGTCGTCGATCCATCGGTCTCTCAACAACAACCCAAGATCCAGTCATTGGAGACTGCAAGCAAGTCAAAGGATCTCAAGATCACGAACAATTAATTCCTCCAGGACAACACACCAAGGCAACCCAACACGGCCCGGATCAAAATCCGGCCAGCGGTGATCTACGCTCGAACATTCGTGTAAACTCCGGATCCCCATAACCTACACCAGAGCGAAGACTTCCGCACTGCTCATCCCACTCCTGCGTCTCGCCAAGATGCTCGATTTCCATTCAGTTGGGCAATCTCCAGCACTTACCGGAGGAGCAAGATCCAGCCGTATCGACGAGTATACAAGGTGAGGAAGTTCAGCTGATCAAGGATCATAGAAGTACTCCCTCCTTTAGTCGGTGTCCTGGGCACAGTGGCAAGCCGGATCCAGCATCTTCGCAGATTTGCTGATTCCGCTTCACCATAATGGTGCGCGTGCCCGCATCTTCTGGTGACTCAGGATTTCACCGTGAGTCTCAAGAAGATGTTCAAGTGAAGGTTGAACAAGGGAACGAGATGTCGTCGGATCCAGGATCGACGGCGACATTGCTGAACGCTAGACCCGCGGATCGGCAGAATGCCCGGAGGAACCCTGGCGACGGAAATGAGGACGATCTGGATCCCGATCGAGATCTGGAAGAGAAACCTCACTCTACAGGTCTCCGACATGGAGACCTCGGCGGATCCTGACTCGCGACAAGATCCGCTAATAAAACAAACAAAGGTGAAGGCTGAACTGTATTCATTTATCGATCCGGATAAGCCAACACTATATCTACCCGAGGCCATGCAAGTCTCGGGATCCGAAGTCGGAAAGCCAAGATCCAAGCCTTTGCGGAAGAAAATGAAGGCCCTAGAGTATGAGGATGACCCAGATGGTCCGTCGAGGTTCTGAAGTACTTGTACCACCGGAAGGAGCTACGCGACTTCGTACGTCAAGATCTGGTGATGGACATCTTGAAGCTGAAGCGGATCGTGGAGCCAATGGATCAAGTAACTGCCCCAGCAACAGTAACCAACAAACTCGACGCAGTAACGGTCCTCATCAGACTGCTGAAGAAAGTCGGCATGATCTCCGGATCTTTCAAGAGGGATGCTCTGTTCCATTTGGATCTGACCGTGGTACAAGCCGCAAGCCGAGATCTCTTTGGGAAGCTGAAGATCCTGGTTGGCGAAGTGTCCCAGATCGCGGATCCGGTATCATCACCCCAGATCGACGCAATGGTCAACCTGACGCTATGCATCTGCTGCTAAAGACGGATCCGACACCTCATCGGAGTCCCGGCGCATGTCGCTGGGACCTTCAGGCGCGGCAATGCTTGCGACAAGATCCAAGTTCCGGTGTCGATGCCCCGCCAGGACTGGCAGTCAGCCTATCTGATCAACACCGACTGATGAAGCCACGATCAATTCGAGCTCAGATCGGTCAGCTGGAACGCTGCAGAAGTTCTTGAACACCGCGATGGATCGGCTGAACAACAAGCGGCAGGTGCGGATACAGTCGTTACAGAACATCAGAATACCGGATCCCTGGATGTTGAGATGGAACCGATCCGATCATTGGACCGCGGATCCAATCGGAAATATAACCCGGCCGACATCGACTTCCCGGTACCCGACCAAGCGGCTGTGGTCACTGCCGCATCCTGATCCACTGGATCCACCATGGCCCAACGAGTCCGGGATCTCGGCAATCTCGGATCTGAAGAAGTTCTCAGGAAAGTATCCGGACGAGGGTCGAACACGAGCTTGGATCAGCAAGATCATGTCGGCCTTCATGCGGGATCAAGCATCAAACGTAGAGAAATGCTTGACTTTCGCCGATCATTTTGCAGGATCCGCGAAGAACTCGTACCACCAATTGGGACGATACACGCGAAATAAGTGGAGCCATCTGCTTCGCCGCTTCCAGATCCAGTATTGCGGACTTGGAGTATCAGTGGCGAGACAATATTACCATGGGCGTCGCCGATCCGATGAATCGCCTCTGGACTATCTGTATCGGCTGAACGTTGCCGGATTGCGTGCGCGACTCAAGATTAAAGATGGTAGTACCAAGGATCGGCGTGAACATGTGGATCACTTCATTGAAATCCTGGAGGATCCGGATCTGGCGGATCGGCTGATATTACTGCGACTATCAGATGCGAATGATCTGGAAGAAGTACTTCGACCGCGGTATCGGGCCACAAGCCGACCGAAGAAGGCTGCGTTCGGATCCGGCAAGTTCCGACAGAAGGCGTCAAATTGCGCACTGCTAAACACGTGTGAACGATCCAGATCCAAGCTGCTGACTGCGGACACTATACTTTCAACGGATCAGACGGATTTGACTCTGAGATGGACAGTCATCGCCGGATGGATCTGACTCTGAGATGTACAGTCATCACCGGAACTACTATCAAGAAGTCGCTCCGAAGGAGAAAAGCGAGACGATAATGCCGGATCCGAGACATCAGCATCCGGGATCCATTAACCATATCCACCACAAGCACCGATCCAAAATCCAGGATGACGGATTCAACCGTAAACGATGCTTGCACTGCGGACCTAAGAAGCACTCCAATCTTGGATGCTGGAAGCACGTAACTCAAACCAAGTGCGGCAAGCGAGGTCATCCGGCGGATCATTGCCTTTTTATGTGTCGCGGATGTGGCGAGCTCCATGACATGGGTAAATGTCCGATGGAGGAGTTTTACAATCAGATCCGCCTATGGTTCAATCCGACCAAACACATGGGTATGCTGCCGGAATGTGCCGAAAAGATGTTAAACTAGGACGCTCGTCGGGGTGGAATCCGATACGAGCCGAGCGTTCTAGATATTGCATCTATACATTTGTGCATAAGACATCGGTAGATCAAGTTAGCAAGCAGCGAGATCTACCCGATAATACACGTTATATGCATGTGAATCATACCGTCACGGTATCCAGTCTTCGCCAAGTGGATGGATACGCCAGATCCGACGTGACCATGACTGTGGATCTTCGTCCAAAAGAATTCAGAGGTTATTGGAAGCAGCAGGATCCGGATCTGTGGTTCAAACCTGCGGATCAGGAGACTACAACCGAGATCGTGAAGCCTAGTCGGATCCCAGAATATCGACGATCCGGATCCACACCAACATTGGATCTCCTATCGGGTGAATCGCACGGGTACTGGAAACACCATGCTCATGGTAAGTAGTTCCGTCAAGCCAAGATCGTCGACAAGGTCCATAATGAGAAGACGATCTTAATTCTAGATACTGGTGACGAGGTGTCCATTGTGAATACTGTCTTTGCTCGTAAGGTCGGGTGCTACATCGACTGGAGTCAGATCCAAGATTGTGTGTGGATCGGCACAATGTGTATTGAACGGAAGGAAGAACGCGGACCAAGGTAACTCTCGCAGGATCGTTGGTTTATTTCTTCGATATCTGGGTAGGAGATTTTTCTGGCCAAGAAACTATCCTCGGCATGGACGTCATGGTTCCAGCCGGGATCTACCTGGATCTCGCCCACGGATCCATCAGCTTGCCCGACGAAGTCCGGATCCAGATTAGTGGAAGGCGACAGCTTTACAGCGACAAGACAAGGATCGTGAACCTAGGACAATACCTGAGGATGCAGTCGGGAGAATCAGTGGAGCTCCCATTACGCCTGAGGACCTTAGATCATGAGAAACGTTGGGTCATCCGTGGAAAGCATTGCGTCCCATGATAACCGATGGTCCAGGGAAGATCCGATACATGAGAATCACCAACGTCGGCGACAAGGTGTTGATTCTCCATCAGGACCTGTGGATCGGGATCTGGCTGGTCGGCGACAATGTCCCGCGACTGCCGGGCTTCATCTCAGTGAGGTCCCAGTGTATATGAAGTGGCAGAACCTGGCTCTGGAAGCGACCGTGGATCCCCGATCTGCGGATCCGGATCTGGAAAATCCGCCTGTGCCTGCGGTGGAGCACCCCGAGTATGGAGCTCCACGTGAAATACGGCAACGGCCAAGACCGACGGCGATCAAGTGTCTGAAGGATAGATCAAGTGAAGATCAAGATGTCGTTGACCACTCGTCTTCGGATAATACGCCGTCGACCAATCTGCCGCCGGATTGTCGACCGTTGGATTCGGCGCCTGTCGCAAGTGATGCGTCGGATCTGACGTCTATCGCAGATGACGACTCTATGTCACATGTCGTAACGGTCGTGAAGGCGCTGAACGATCGGGATCTGAGTGTATCAGATATTATAACGGTGGATCCGGCCTAAGTCGAAGATCCAAACTCGGAAAAAGTATTGGCGAATGAAACTCTAAGTGGTGCAACTGGCGCGGATCAAGATCCGACAGCCAAGAAGTCCAAGCTCCGAAGGTGGCGACGTTGAAGGGTGATGGGTCACACCTATCAATGATGATGGGTGTATAATCTGGGACGGGTCATAAGTTGGGTGATCCGTTGGATAAGAAAGACACTGCGTCAATGTCGCAGAATAAGGACGATAATTTGGCGGCCGTTCCTGAAGATTAACCTGACACATCGAAGCTGGACCTTACTTGGGACTCTAATCAGGATTACGATGAATGCGTGTATTACCACGACGGCAGTCATATCTACGCCGAAGATGTCGACGGATAACTCGCGGTACTCCAGTAACGACGGAAGATGTGAGGATCGAGGACATCCAATTGTGTGGATCCGACAATCAGACGCCAGAAGAGATCGACCGTTTTCGCCAGCGGATCTGGAAGTTCCGACATCTCCTGATTGGCAAAGGAAATGCGCCCCCACTGGCAGCCCGAGGGGTTGTGTGCGATATTGATATAGGAGTAGCTCGGCCGATCGCGCTCAAGTGTCGTAAGCTGCGGATTCAGTTCGGAGAGAAATTGGCAGAGTTGATCAAGAGTCTCCTGTCAGCGAAGAATATCAACCACTCAAGATCTCCATGGGCATCGCCGATCGTTGTGATCATCGAGAAGAATGATGTAGATATACAATTGTGCATTGATTATCGGTTGGTAACAGTCTGACACAGCTGATGGTTTATCCGATTCCGCTGATCAACGATCTACTGGAGGATCTTGAGTCTACATCATGGTTTTGTTCACTGGATATGTCGAGTGGATTTTGGGTGGTGAAGATGACGGATAGGGCCCGCCTGATTTCAACCATTATCACCCCATTTGGACTTTCCGAGTAGAATCGGATGCCTTTCGGGCCGAAAAATGCGCCTGATGAATGACAACGCCTTATATGAGTTCACCCGGATTTCGAAAATGTCAAGTGATCTGGAGCGTCTGGGTGTATTCGAGGCCGAATAACCTGAGGATCCGGGCAAACCATCGGTGTTAGGACGCAGATCCTACATTGACGACATCTTAGTACCAACGCATATTTGGGATCAGCTATGCGACCGTATAGAAGATCTTTTGGAGGCGCATAACAAATGGAACTTGTCGATCAGCGTTGTCGAGAGTTTCTGGGGCATGCCCAAATGGAATATCTCGGTCATAAGGTATCGCACGATGTGTTAGAAGCAAATCCTACAGATCGGTGTGTGTTATGCGGTCGTTTTGGGCAGCTAGAACTATTATAGTCGCATAATCGAGGATTATGCAATCTACGCGTCTGTACTATATGAGCTGAGGGAGATCGACTATTCTGCGATGGAGAAGTGCGTGAATCAGAGCCGGATCCAGCTAGCACTAGCGTCTGAAACTCCCGGTCCGGACATGCTGGCTTAGGATCCGATAAGTTCGCAACCCTCGGATCCGGACTCGCGGGTCCAGATCTCGAACCTAGGCAGCAAGATCCGAACCCAGTGTCGTGGGATCTTACGCTTGGCAGCGCGAAGGTGTCGGATTCCGAGAAGGACAATTTCGGGGATCTGGATCCTCGGTGGATCCATGCTCACAATTCCTTCAATGTGTTAAAGAAGAAGATCACAACAACGCCGATCTTACGTCACTATGAGCCGGATCAGCAAGCTATAGTGCTGGTATATGGCAGTGATTGGGCGATTTCTGGTGCGTTGATGCAGAAGTATGATCAGATCTACTATCCAGTGATGTGCGCGAGCCGTACGTTGAAGTCTAACGCGTTAATCTACGGGATCGCGGAAAAGGAGGTGTTAGCATTTTTGCGGATCCTGGACCTACACTATAATACTGTGGTTGGAAGGCCGATCTGAGCGTTGATGCGACATTCCACAATGGATTGGTTGTTTAGATCCAATGCATTACAAGGTCGCCTGGGACAGTGAGTCGCGTTGCTTTCACCCTGGGTTTTTGAGATCGTTAAATGTAACAAGGGCGAGGATAAGATCCTGGGCACATTAGCAGCCAGTATCACTCCCAGATCCGAAGTCGACAAAGCACTGATCTCGATCGCTCCGAAGAAGGAGCCGAGACGCAAGATCCAAGCCCCTATCCCGACTGCGAGGTCAAATGAGGATCTGTGTGTCGCTAGCTTCCGCCCATGTCAAGCGAGGCTACAGCGCGATCCTGTGGAAGTTACCTGCATGGACTGTTGTGAAGGCAGATCCTGTTATGTCGAAGGTTCAACCATCAATGAAACCGAATATCACGGCCTTTTGTTATGTCTGGACTTGCTAGATGGGACGGAACCGTTACGACAGGTGAGCTGTGGTGACTCAAACTTGGTGATCCGTCAAGTTAGAGTTGAGATCGACTGCAAGGCACCTAGATGGACATGACTAAGCCAGAAGGCGTTTGACAGATTGCGGATCCGGCCGGACCATGAGTTGGTACATGTGAAGCGGGATTGGAACGGAAGTGCAGATAGTCTGGCTAGTGCTGTATTGCAAAGACAATGAGGAATCAAGATCGAAACCGATAGCGAGATCCAGAATCTGATCACATTGAACCGACTGGACGAGATATTGGTGGCGAAATCCGAGGATCCGGCGGTGCAGATCTGAGCCGTTACAAGTAGATCGAAGGCTAGATTTGGCGTGAGATTTGGATCACAGGCCCCGTACTGTGCGATGAAGTGATCAGAGAGCTCAGGATCGAGCGGATCCGACAAGCACAGGACGAGGAAGCGTGGATCCGCGGTTTGAATATGTATCTGAGTAGTGAAGTACGAGATCTGACACAGGAAGAGGCCAGTTCTTGCGGATCCCCATGAATTTCGAAGTGGATCAGCATTATTTCCTTTTCTATTGCCCTACTACGAACGAATCAGCTGCGGATCGAAACAACCAGATGCGACTGGTATTAACTGAAACGTTGAATCAAGATGTTCTACACCACTATCATACCAGCCTCCAAGGTGGACATCAGGGGATCAGCCGTACTTACGATCGGATCCGGGATCGTTTTCACTGGAGAGGATTGTATAAGAGCGTGCAAAGTTATGTCGGTGAGTGTGCCGACTGCGAGACCGGAAAAGGACGACATCGGATCCAGGGCGAATCGCCGGTTAATCTTCAACCGCTTTATCTATTCCAGATCATCGATATGGATCACCTCCCCTCATTGTCCAGCTCTTATAAAGGTAACACTGAGTGGTTGGTCTTCGAGAATTTCTTTTCTGGTTATCTCAAAGCAAACTCGGGTCTGGCACATTACCCCCGCCGAGGATCTCCTAGGGGGACTCGCGGTTCAGAACCTCGATGTTGTCTGCGGAGATCAAGTGCACTCAGTAATCCGCATCTTAGGGAGGTCGAGGTCGAGGTCGTGGCGTGTGGTGAGGGTAGAACCACTCAGGTCGAAAAAGGCAGCGCAGTCGCAAGAAGATCCACCGTAATCGTCATGATTGTCCATCGACGTAGATCATCCAACACCCAGCGATCGATATCTGCCTCCAAAAATAAACGGAACTGGGTGTGCCTTGGAATGCAGAAATTATCGGCGAGCGGATCCTGTGGTAACATATCTGGATTTAGAGGCGGGCGATTGCCAGCAGGTCGATCGGCAGGGGATCTGGAACATCATCTTCGTCGTCGCCAGATCCGTCATCGCCCGGATCACCCCCTCCACAACCACCGGTACGACGCGGAGATGCATCATCACGCCGACGCTGCGCGGATCTTGACTGAGCAATAGCTCGAAGGTGTCCTCTTCAAACATATAATTTTGACCTCCTCGGTCTTGTGATTGGAGGACGGAGCGGAACTGTCTGGGTCCGTCGTGTCGGCGTCATTTCATCGTCGTCAGCGGCGTGACCCTTGGTCTCCTCGTCACCACCAGTGAGATCCAAGATCTGGGTTGAGGAACATCATCTTAAGTTGTCAGGGTGGTTCATCCGGGCTTGCGTTTCAACGGTGTGTTATCGCTGCTCGAGTCGCCGGACCCACCGAGTTCCTGAGCAGCACTTAGCGTATCAAACGAAGAAGACGAGTCCTCGGGGTCCGGACTCTTCTTATGATCCTTGCCGCAAGGCTCATCATCATCTCAGCCATCATTCGGTGAGGATCCGCCACCCATGTCGATTGGGGTGTCGGGTTTCTTCACAGAAGCAACTTGCCGGCACGAGTGCTGAGTTGGTGAATGGGACAGACCTATGCGAGCCGCCGTTGGAACTTCTCAGTCAACAAACAGTGGCCCACACAACCGGACTTTACCGGACTACGACTCATGACCAACGCTGGTAGGTCCCTTTATAAGTACCTTCAACCACCTAAGTCACTGTATCGAGAGTTGAGTACGACACACCAGGTAACCCATTGTCGAGATACGCACTTCATCGTCGGGTGATTAGCCGAGACGTCGTTAGCCGTTTGAGAGTCGTTAGCTTAGTCGCATTTATACTTGATATTTGTCTACGCTATAGTAGGAGTTAGGACTAGTCTAAGCACCCATTAGGGCGTAGAACAGAACAGAGTTTTGCTACCTGAAATGAGACTTCTTTTGGGTAAGTCCAAAAGGGCCAGGTCACTTAGAGTGGTATATATGTCTGGTGGTGAACTCGGTTGAAGAACTCCTGTCCATCCGTGACAAGACCAAGCGCTAGGTGAGAGGTTTGGTCGTATTGAAGGCCGAAGAGTCATCGTCGAAGACTAGAAGCACATTCCCAGTAATTCTTACCGCTGGATCAAGTGCCTGGCACCCCTGCATCTGGCTGAAAAGTCAAGCACATTCCACCACTGAAGGGCAGGCGGGTGAAGTTGAAGGAAGAAGAGAAGACGACTTGGAGTGCTCGTTCCAAGGACGTCAGATTTGGTCGACCTACGACCTACCACCTTACCAGCGCAGAGTCAAGTGGAACCCGGAAGAGATCGACCCAAGGACTATCGAGTATAGTCCTTTGATTCCACTCGTCGTTAGCTCTTTGCGGAGCTGACGAATTGTTGTGAGTGGCGGGAGGGGTGCTTTGTGAGTGGCGGGAGGGATACAATCGTGAATTCCCAACACGACAACTGGTGCCACGACCCGGGACTTCGGTTGACCTTCTGTCCTGATAAGAGTATTATTTTGCAGGTTCGACTACGAGCGAAGAAGTCAAGAGAAAGGAAG